TCTAGCTTAATCTTGATGGATTCTAGCCAAGATCTTCAATTCTCCTTCAATCTCTTCCTTTCTCTCTCTAGAATTGCACTCGCTCTCTCTATAAAATATAATCTCAGATTTTAGGAGTTCAAAATGATGAAAGGATGAGCTCAAATGAGCTTAAGGGCCCACTTATATTGTTGTAATGCCATAATACATTAATTGGAACCTTAGGCTTGCCAAACACAACTGAATTAATCAGACTGAATCAATTTTTAATAAAATTTGCCTTCTGATTCTAAAAATTTTGAAAAACACATTGATATAACCAATTTCGGTTTCGGACGCCAATAAAGCTTTCAATTTTCAGATCAAAGCAGAATTCCAGACAGATATTTCTACGAATAATAGATAAAAAGCCAAATAGCATACAAAATACGCAATAAACACATAATTTATTTTAATCACTTAATTAGCATCCTTAATTAAGGATTAGTAGCTCATTACGGATCGGGGTTGTTACAACCCACTTGAACCGGAGATATCCATAAAACCTGTCCCAACTGAGCTTGAGTGGCTGAATTCATATTGGTAGAATATTGTACTCTCGACTTTGAAAAATTGATCTGCTTGCCCAAAGAGTCCCCATAAAGTTTCAGAATGCAAAGCACCTCTTCACACTAGTTACTCTCTGCTTTAAAGAAAAGTAGAGCGTAATTTGCAAAGAATAAGTAAGAAAGAACGGGGGAGGCCCTATGAATTCTCAAGCCATCCAACCTCCATTCTTAAACACTCCTCTGAATCAACCAAGATAATACTTCAATGACTAGCAAAAACAGATAAGATAACAAAGGATCCCCTTGTCGGAATCCTCTTGTTGGTTTGAAGCTAGCTCTTTTGGCTCCATTTGCAAACACCGAAAAGGTGACTGTAGAAACACATTCCATGACCCATAGAACCCATTTGAGACAAAACCCCAACTTAATCATAACGGCACGTATAAAATCCCATTGAACAATGTCATAGGCCTCGTGGAAATCCAAGCTGAGAATTGAGTTTGATTTGAATTTGACTTCTTTTTCTTTGATCGCCATCTAGCCCAATCTTTAATATTTTAATTGCAAGTTATTCTGCAAAAATAAAAATTAAATAATTATATATTTTTAACCATTCATCAAGTTTTTTTGTTTATGTAAATATATATATATGTACAAACGCAGAATGAGAAAAATAATGGATAACTTATGAAGATGAACAGCAATGAATAACTACATAAAAAAAAAAAAACCAGATCAATTCAATAATAGTTCTCATATATTTGTTGAGACATTTCTCTCCCATTTTAATTTTTTTTATATAAAATATACATTGTATTTAATTTAATTTATTAAATTTTATTGTAATATCATATATAATAATATATAATATTAATAAACAAAGTCAAACTATTTTTTAACTTTCATGGCCATTCTTAAAGTCATTTTCTATGAAAATCATAAGAGATGTGTAGTGAATACTGAACTGACGTAATGTGAGGTTTGAATTGAAATAGTCATAAATTAATATTTTTAAATAAAATTTAATTTTTAAGATTATAGTATGGTTGAAATTATAAATGGAAAAGGGACTAGGTGGTTGATGTGAACTCCGTACAGCAATTCCTGTTGTGTAGTTGTTTGGGTATATTTTGAATTTTATTTTGATAATTTGAACGATTTATTTTTTAAATATATTGAACATAACATACTTATAAAAAATTAAGTTAATCTGTGAGAGGGTAATTTGTGTACAAATTAGGCCGAGTTAGGTGAAATCTTCTTTGGCAGTTGGGCCACGCAATTGGCCAATGAGAGACTTTTGTGTATCTCGATCTTTGGCCGAGATAGGTGCAATGACGGTCACAGATTTGTTGTTAGGGCTTGGACCTAGCTATCTGGGGACAAGCCTTTATCAAACTGAGGTGATTACCATGGCAGTGGGCCGAGCTAGATGCAACTCGATAGGATGTTATCTTGTAGCTAGGGTCATCACAGTTCGACCATGTTGAGTACAGTGCTGAGGTAGCTCGGTTGATCGCAGTGTAAGCCGAAATAAAGGGTTTTAACCATCTCACTTGGTTGACAGTGAGTAGGGTGTTATCTAGATAAGCACTATCCAACGAGCAAGTAATTCCCAGGAGGACTTTACTAAGGAGAGTTAAAGTCCTACTAGGAATGTATCTGGCGGAATCTATAAAAGCACCCGGCAGAACGTATGGACAAGTATCGCAGTTTTTATTCTCGAATACACAGAACTTATTGTCTATTGTCTATTGGCTGACTTAGGCATCGGAGGAGTTTCTGGCACACACTCGTTTGCTAGCTCACGTTTGTGTTTTCAGGTAATAAAGCAGCGGCGTTTAAAGGAGTGCAAACTTAGTCGACATGATTATACGATAAGATAATTCTATGCTCGTACAATCAGATATCAACAACTCTTTCATCAAATCACATTTATATTTTATTTTATTCTTAAAATTATACTTATTATTTATTTTCTTAGATACAAATGTAATTTAATGAAAAAATTACTAAAATTTGATCAATTTTATATTTAATAAATATATTATATTTAATATATCTTAAAAAATGAATCATTCAAATTAAAAGTATTGTGTTTATTTTCAGTTTTCAAAATTCACTTTTCAGAAAATTCTACTATTTCGTTTTTCTTATTTTTTGTTTTCACTGAATTTTTTTAATATTTAAAAAAAATTAAATTTTTAGACGCACCTAACATAAATACACTTAAAAAATATAATATTTGTGAAAAAAAATCTTTAAAAAATTCACTAAATACCAAAACTACAAAAATAAAAAAAATACGAGAACTCAGTATATTTTTCGTATTTTTGTGTATTTATTAATTTTTTAAAATATTTTTTCACAAATATTTTACTATTTAGATAAATCTAAGTAAAGTGCATCTAAAACAATAAAAAAAATTACTTAAAATTTAAAAAATATTCACTAAAAATAAAAAAAATACGAAAAATAAAAACTCATTTTTAAAAAAAATTAAATTCAAAAAACTGAAATCAAATACACTAATTTATAGGATTTAAAACAAGGGTAAACCATCTCGGTGCACAGCAATCCCGATCCCATGCAAAAGGTACTTAGAGCATCTGGATCAAAGCTCTCTACAATATCTTCAAAACTATTGTAGAGAGCAAAAGTCAAGAATATGTGCTCCATCAGACTCAACAAATTAATTCTATGGCTAGCTATTATTTATATTTGCTATAGTAACTCAATAACTTTGTTGAGTCATTGTTCATTGGCCATTCTATTTTTTATTATATTTTTTGGAGCAAAATTGGGCCAAAAACTTTAAAACGGTTGTCTACCCATATGTCCTCCCGGATATCCCATGAGTGTTTGTAACAGAAGAAGAAAAATGCCCAAAATTAGCCTAACCGGTCGACCAGCTGGTCAACGGCAATTTTTTTTTTTTTTTTTTGGTTATATTTTTTAAGAATTGATTGGGTGGTATTGGATGGTACCTCATCAATTTAATAAATAAATAAAGAATAACAAATATAATAAGAAAATAATATTTTAATAAAATTTAATTAAAATAGAGAATTTGATACAACGAGCACGTGACTAGTTAAAATAATAAAAGTGAATTTAGAATTATAATTCAACTTAAAATTTGTTGAAACTGGCACGAATGTTGTGGTGAATTACAGCTGTCCAATGCACCACCTTTAATTTAAGTCTTGGTATTTGCAACTCGGTCTTTTGTGGGAGCAGGGATTCCCTCCTTGCATCATTTCTTATTTGCAAGGTTATTAGACTCATTTTTAGGCCCAATTTTGATAATTAGAACTGTTCATATTTTAAGATTTATTCAGTATATCATACCTGTAAAAAATCAAGTTAATCGGATATCAGAAAGTATGTGTTTGAAAAAATCGAACTAAAAATTATTTTTTTTTAAAATTTAATAAACAATTTTCTGAACACATGTTTTCTGATATCCGATCAACTTAATTTTTTACAAGTATGTTATACTGAACAAATCTTAAAATATGAATGATTTGAATTATCAAAATTAAGGCCTAGTTTGGGAAGACTAAATAAGTGCACTTTTTGACTTTTTATGAAATATGGGTTGGGTTTAAAGTGATGTATTAGAGAAGTGATGTGACTTAAATAAAATGATGTGACTTAAATAAGATAGTGACTTTTTAACTTTTTGTCTTTTTTTAATCTTTTCAAATTAGGCCTAAATCTAAAGGTAAATCTAATATCCCTACAAGTAGAAAATGTAAGGAAGAGATGTTGACTCCTTGTGTGGAGCCAAAAACTTGGATGCACCGCCTTTAATTTTTGGGTAGGTACACTACCTTTAATTTAAGTCTTGGTCTTTGCAACTTGGACTTTAGTGGAGCCAAAAACTTGGAATTTTATATGTGGAAAATTTTATAACGCACGTTTTAAAAATAAATGATATTTTATATTTTTAATTATGATTTTTTGTGATTTTTAATTATAAATAATTATGATTTAATTATAATTTTGTTATGATTTATTATATTTTGTATTATAATTTAATTATGAATTTTTTAATTATTATTTTAATTACAATTGAAGACGTCTTTATTATGTGTCAAGAGATGTTTGATTAGGATTTCTTATGGTGTTAATTATAATCTATTATGACTATTATATTAGTTATAATAAAAAAAATTAATTATATTTTAAGTAATATTTAATTATGACCCATTATATTTCTTTTAATTAATTATGACTCATTATGCTTCTTTTAATTATGATTAAAAGTGATTATTTACTATACGAAAATGATCGTTTGGGAACAAGTTATTTTAGTAACTTTTTGACTTTTTATAAAAAGATGTGCAGAAAAATAGAGAGGTGATGTGACTAATTTTAATTAACTTTTTAATTTTTTTTGACTAAAATAGCCGCTCCCAGACCAGGCTTCACTCTGTAGGCCTATTTTAAGACTTCGTGACGTGTAAAATGAATAATTAAAGAAAGGATGAGAGAGAGATAGGCTATGGATAGAAGGCTTTACGAAGCATCCCTAAGTGGGAGTGTCGCGGATTTAGAAAATTTGGAGGGCGAAGATCAACTGATCCTGGACAGAGTCTCTCTCACCTGCTTCGACCAAACTCCGTTGCACATAGCAGCATGGCGAGGTCACTCCGATTTCACCAGAGCGCTTCTGAGTCGAAAACCCAGACTCGCTACCGACCTCAACTCGGCTCGGTGCTCGCCTCTCCACTTGGCTTCCGCCGAGGGCCACCACGAGATCGTAAAACAGTTGTTGGATGCGAACGACGACGTTTGCGAGGCTTACGACGAAGATGGTAGAACCCCACTCCACTTGGCAGCCATGAAAGGCCGAGTCGAGGTCATAAAACTGTTAACTCGGGCTTGGCCTGAGTCAATTCGTCAGAAACTCGGCAGAGGAGGAGAGAGTGTTCTGCACTTGTGTGTGAAGTACAACCGTTTGGAGGCTTTGAAGACTTTGGTTGACGAATTGCTGATCCAAAACGACGCCGGGTTTGTGAACTCTGAAGACCAAGATGGTAACACCATCTTGCATCTTGCTGCAGCTCTCAAACAACTAGACGTAAGTGTATCGATATATACATATCTATATATATATAATATACATTGATGCTCAAGAGATTCATATCTAACTTCTTCTTTTTTCTTTTTTTTTGTTTGGCAAGAAAAATTTTAGCATATTTTAAGTTAAAATTTACACATAAAAATAAATAAATAAATAAAATAGACTAAGACAGTTAATAAAATAAAATATCACATCAAATTCATAATTATTTTATATTTTTCGTACAAATATCATATCGAATTATAAAAAAATCCAATCGTCTTCACAAATACAAAAATTTTAACCTACTAAAATAGCAATTTCCCAAACACTCACTTCATATACTCCATCCATCCGTCTCAAAATATTAGTCCTTCCTAAAAAATCAAGGAAAAAAATAATATAAATTTACTATTTTGTCATTATTTTAAATTCATTAATAATACAAAAAAATAAAATTATGACAATTGATATTTCCAAAATAATGTACTATCAAAGGATAGTTTTAGAAAATTAATCAGTGTGTTTGGTTTGAATTTTCTGGATTAAGTTTTTTGAAAATGAGTTTTTGTTTTTTGTGTTTTTTCTGTTGTTTATAGTGAATATTTTTTAAATTTTAAGTATTTTTTTTTTTTACTTTTTTAGATGCACCTTACTTAGATGTATCTAAAAAGTAAAAAAATTGTGAAAAAATATTTTTAAAAAGTAACAAATACATAAAAATAAGAAAAATATACTAAAATTTTGCATTTTTTTTTTGTATTTTTGGTATTTATTGAATTTTTAAAAGATTTTTTTACAAAAATTATACTTTTTATGTGTATGACTAAGTTATGCATGAATGAAATCAGATTCCGAATACCTTTGGAATTTTCTAATCCACCAAGTAAAGAGGAAAATAACAATATAAATTATTGAGAGAAATTCAATGAATTTTCTACAGATTTCATATGAATTTCTTCTGCTTCAATTGCCAACCCATTCCACCTTTATATAGGCATGGGATTGTATCCCTTAAACCAAATGTCGTGTCCCACCCTTTAAATCCAAGAGTTATGTCTTTTTTATTTAAATTTAATGGTTATATTCTTTGATTTAAACCCAAAAATCACATCTCTTTAATAATTCATATAATTATATTATATATTTAAATATATATAAATATATTATGAAAATGTTCCAACATGTTTGTTAGTCAGTTAGAACAGATTAGTGAGCTATGTATATATGGCCTCGTTTGGGAAGTGGCTATTTTAGTAGACTATTTGGCTTTTTGACTATTTTAGTAGGTTATTTTAGTTTTGTGTTTGGGAAGTTGAGTTAAATTTTTAGGTTGATTGTTGTATTGAAAAAAGTGTTTGAAATGATGTTTAAATTGAAATTACAAATTTACCCTTCACTTTATTTTTTTTAAAAATTGAGGAATAGGGGTAATAATGTAATTTAGCAAACCTGCAGCCTACACTGTTGGTGGCAGTGTAGGCTGCACTGCTGCAGCAGCCGACCAACAGTCAGTTTTTTTTTTTTTTTTTTGAAAATCAAGAAAAAGTTTGCTACAGTTAGGCTTTTGGGCTGATTTTTAGTTTTAGGCTATAATAGCCTGAATAGCAGGTTCCCAAACAGCGCCGATATATACAACAACGGTGTATTACCAAATTGAATCAATGAGAATTGTTTCTAAGATTTCCATAATTATTAATTGGACTCAATCAAAAAAATATATTTATAATTTAGAATCAAAATTGAACTAATTGAATTGTAGTAATCAAAATAACATAAGGGCAAAGAATAAGACTAGTAGAGTAATTTATGTTATAAATTATCATTCCTTCACGATGACATGCTCAAAAACATTCCCTTGTACTAACTTTTTTATGCTTAATTTTTTTCATATACAATCAAAAAAAAATATTTATATATACAAGAAATTAATATAATATAATGTAGCAAATCTTAATTTTATCATTTTCAAACTAAAGGCTCATCAAGATGGCTTAAGAGTAACTTCACCCGAAACTTCAAATATGATATGACACTCCAACAATCATATTTTGACATCAAGTATTAGCTCCACCAGGTATGCCAAAAGCTAATGTGGTATTTGACATCATCCCTTTATGTCAATTTTGACATGTTCCTACTTCATATTTTTTTTTTTTTAAAAATAAAAGAGTTTTCATGTAAAATAAAAGAATTCAAATTTGACATATCGGGTGAAGAGTTTTCCTATCAAATTGACCTAAGCCAATTTGCCATCTGAGCTTTTAAAAAAAATTTGACATCAAATTTTGAAAGTTCGGTAGAAACGTAAGTTTTTTTTATGTACATATTAAACATAATAAAATGACAAGAGAATTAAAAAGGTGAAGTTTATGGTGAAATCAATGAGAACACTTTTAGTGTAGGCTAAGAATCCTTTATTTTCAAATCTTTTTGTTCCAAATTATCTACAACCAATGGATGAATTTTAAGGTACAAGAATCTTAAAGTATATCTAATATTTGTAGATTGTATTTGAGACGAAAAGATTTGAGCACAGAATATACCAAGCCTCAATTAAACTTCTCCCATGAATTAATCAAGAATGAATATGCGTGTTAGATAATTTGTAACTCATGCAATCTATTTGTTCTTTCTTTTGGAATTCCCATCAATGATGCTTCGTGTAGACCGTAGAATACTTGTTACAAGTAGAAAGTGTCAAAGAACACGCCAATGCCAAGAACAAGAATGGTTTTACAGCTTTGGATGTTGTGGAGGATTGTCCTAATAGAGACTTAAAACAAAAGGAAATCGGCAAGTTTCTTCGGCAAGCTGGTGCTCAAAGAGCCCAAGATCTCGGAACTCTCGTACCAGAATCACTTACCAGTGAAGAAATCGGAACATTACCCGATAGTTCTCAAGCTATTCTCCACCCACTACCAACACCACCTACTGGCGAAGAGATCAGGAGATCATGGAAATTAATTTCATGGTTTTGGAATAGATATTTTAAGGCTGATGATGGGTGGTTCAAAGAAGTACGCGGACATTTAATAACAGCATCCACACTGACAACAACAATGGCTTACCAAGCTGGATTAAGTCCACCTGGGAGTGTTTGGCAAGATGGACCTCAAGGTAAAAATGAAACTACAAATGACCACACCCATATCCCTGGGACATCCATTTTAGCCAGCACTGATGGTACTTATGCTACTTTCGTATTGTTCAACACTGCTTCCTTAATAGCATCTCTAAGCACTCTCCTTCTGGCGTTAAGTGGATTTCCTCCTGAGAACAAGTTTTTACTATTCCTACTGTTATCCACAATGTTTTGCTCAATCACATGCATGGCTTTTGCTTATCTATTGACACTTGGGATGATAAGTCCATTGGAAAGTTGGGATTATGTGGGTTCCATCACTTCTTCATCATTCATTGCTTGGGTTGGCATATGTACATTTGTTGTTGTGCTTCACATAAGTCGCGTCGTGGAATGGCTATGGCGAAAGTGCAACTTATTTATTCAAAAAAGATGGCCAACAAGACAACCTAATAATGAGAATAATGTCAATCCAATGCTTCGATCAAATTTCTTTGAATGGCTATGGCTGAAGAGTGGAGAACTTGTTCAAAAAAGATGGCCAACAAGACGACCTAATAATGAAATTAATGTCAACCTGTGACTCGCGATCAGAGACTACTACCGGTAATTCAATCTCCATAGGAGGTTTTTCCTATTATTGTTCTGCTGTTATTTTTCATGTAGGTGCTTTACTTCTATTTAATTATGTTGTGATAGTCAAATATAGTTTGGTCAACATAAGTATGCATTATTAGTAGGAAAATTATTCAATAAATTACCAGAGTGCCGTGCTTATGGCACTTCTAATTAATGAGATCGCACAAAGAAAGATGGATGAGACCACTTTGGGGCATTTGGGAACAAAGTTAAAAGTTGGGTTTTGCAGTTTGGGTAAAAAGTTAGAAACTACAAATGTTTTGGCATTAAAACCATTTGCGAGCGGATCCTCTAGAGTTAATTCTCTAGAGTGATCTCCTAAAGTAGTTGATCGAACGGCTCAGAATCAAACTCACCAAAACGAAAGTAGTTGATCGAACGGCTCAGAATCAAACTCACCAAAACGACGTCGTTTTGGTGAGTATTTTGAAAAATAAATAAATAAATAAATTCAGATTTTTTAAAGCTTTTTTTTGCAGATCAACAATGGGATGCGGAAGTTTCGAGCTCCGATGCACTCCATTGGGATTGATTTTCTGGCTCTGGTTTTACAACCTTGGCTCTGTAGCCATTAATGCGCTTTGAAGCTTTAGGAATTGGAAATGCAGAGAGTGCTGGGACTGCAGCGATGACAAACCCTTTTCTTTCTCTCTCTACTCTCTCTCTTCTTCTTCTCTCTCTGTGTCTCTGGTTCTGCGTTCGGGATTGATTTTCTGGCTCTGGTTTTACAACCTTGGCTCTGTAGCCATTAATGCGCTTTGAAGCTTTAGGAATTGGAAATGCAGAGAGTGCTGGGACTGTAGCGATGACGAACCCTTTGCTTTCTCTCTCTACTCTCTCTCTTCTTCTTCTCTCTCTGTGTCTCTGGTTCTGCGTTCGTCGCTTTTTCTCTCTCTGTGTCTGTAGTTAATCTGATTTGGGTTGTTGGGTTGTGATGATGATGATGATAAATGGAAGCCATTGTTGATCTGCAAAAAAAGCTTCAAAAAATCTGAATTTTTTTTTTTTTTTTTTTTTTAAAATACTCACCAAAACGACGTCGTTTTGGTGAGTTTAATTCTGAGCCGTTCGATCAACTACTTTAGGAGATCACTCTAGAGAATTAACTCTAGAGGATCCGCTCGCAAACCATTTAGCAAAGTAGCTAAAAGCTACCTTTGAAATTACACCTATACTCTCCAATTGCAAAATGAGCTATGTGTGAAAATATAAATTTCCTAAATTGGGTGGGAATATTTTGATTATTTGATTGTGATGTGACAGTATAAACAAATATTAAGCAAAAAGTTAACTTTTTTTTTTTTTTTTTTTTACTTGATATGGAAATTATCTCCTTCTGGCGTTAAGTGGATTTCCTCCTGAGAACAAGTTTTTACTATTCCTACTGTTATCCACAATGTTTTGCTCAATCACATGCATGGCTTTTGCTTATCTATTGACACTTGGGATGATAAGTCCATTGGAAAGTTGGGATTATGTGGGTTCCATCACTTCTTCATCATTCATTGCTTGGGTTGGCATATGTACATTTGTTGTTGTGCTTCACATAAGTCGCGTCGTGGAATGGCTATGGCGAAAGTGCAACTTATTTATTCAAAAAAGATGGCCAACAAGACAACCTAATAATGAGAATAATGTCAATCCAATGCTTCGATCAAATTTCTTTGAATGGCTATGGCTGAAGAGTGGAGAACTTGTTCAAAAAAGATGGCCAACAAGACGACCTAATAATGAAATTAATGTCAACCTGTGACTCGCGATCAGAGACTACTACCGGTACTTCAATCTCCATAGGAGGTTTTTCCTATTATTGTTCTGCTGTTATTTTTCATGTAGGTGCTTTACTTCTATTTAATTATGTTGTGATAGTCAAATATAGTTTGGTCAACATAAGTATGCATTATTAGTAGGAAAATTATTCAATAAATTACCAGAGTGCCGTGCTTATGGCACTTCTAATTAATGAGATCGCACAAAGAAAGATGGATGAGACCACTTTGGGGCATTTGGGAACAAAGTTAAAAGTTGGGTTTTGCAGTTTGGGTAAAAAGTTAGAAGTTAGTTGTTTTGGCATTAAAACCATTTAGCAAAGTAGCTAAAAGCTACCTTTGAAATTACACCTATACTCTCCAATTGCAAAATGAGCTATGTGTGAAAATATAAATTTCCTAAATTGGGTGGGAATATTTTGATTATTTGATTGTGATGTGACAGCATAAATAAATATTAAACAAAAAAATCAAAAAACATTTTTTATTAACTTTCCAAATGACTTTATGAAAAAGCCAAAAAAAACTTGGTTAAAAGTCGAAAGTTAACTTTTAACTATCTTTTCAAAATACCTTCTCATCCAACCGATCAAAGTGAGTTAGAGAATTTAGAAGGTTTCAAAAAATTCTAAAAAGTTCTAAAATATCTTATAACAACTTGAAATATAATAAAACATCGCAAAAGTCTAGACAAATCCAAAATACTAGAAGAGAAATTTTACTATACACTCCTCTTGAAATTGGTGTACTATATGCATATTTAATTATATCATTTTCTTCTTTGGTTATAACTAATTTTCTTCTTTAATTATGACAATATTTTAATTATGACTCATGCGATACTTGGTTATGCCTCATTTAATGTTTGATTATGACTTTTTTTTTTGTTATGACTTAGAAAGTATAGAATTATGTCATTTTCTTTTTTAGTTATAAAGTTCATATAGTACACACCCTTTGAAAAGTATGTGCTATATAGCCTTTTCCGTACAAAAATAGTGTAGAATGATTTTCTAAAAAAAATTCACTATGTATTAAATTAATTTAGAGAATTTTAGAATATATGAAATGATGAAATAGAAATTTTCAATATGAGTTTATACTATATACTATAATTTTGTATTCATTTGCTTTATTTTTCGAATAATTTCTACAATAGAAATTCTGGTTTGGTTCAAATTTGCACACATTCACACAATAGTATACACCCAAAATTATCAAGATGACTGAGATATAAAATAGTAAATAATAAAATTAAAATAAATTGAAAAATGATTACACATACAAAAAAACATAAAAAAAATTAATTCAGGCACAAAATAGAACTACATCAGGATTGATGTAATTTTTACTATAATTAAAAAATTATTATAATTCTCTTGAGGATTATTTTTTTTTAGCTCATACTATATACTTTACAATAGAAATTTGCTTTAAAATAGTATATTCTTTTATCTTTTTTTAGTCACATCACTTTTTTATTTTTTTACATATTTTTTTATAAAAAAAATAAAAAAATATACTTATTTAATAATGCAAGAAGTACCCTTTATCTATTTATATACATAAAAATTAAAGTAACGTGAAAGTAGCAAGAAATCATCAGAGTAGGCAAGGAGGCTCTCCAAAGTCTCATCGGATCCAGGTTTGATATACCGTACTTATCACGGTTCTCAATACAACACACAACAAAATCTAACAGTTTTAGAAATATAGGAATAATTTGACTTTTAACTCATTTTGAATTATATCACTTCTCATCTAATACTAAGACCTCGTTTAGAAATAGGCTAATTTAATAATTTTTTGACTATTTAGTTAAAATATGAACTAAAAAAAACTAGTATGTTTGTGATGATTTTTTTACTTTTTACGAAAAGATGTACAAAAAGTAGAGAGAAAAGAGAATCTTTGACTTTTTTGTATGAATTGTTGACTTTTTAATTTTTTTAATAACTTTTTAACTTTTTTGCTAAAAAGTCACTTGCCAAACGAGGCCAAACTCAAACAACAATTAACACACAGACTCCAACTTCAAAATGAGAAATTTGTGGTATACACTTTTAAAGTTGTGTTTGGATTATACATTTGTGTAAAAAATTTAAAAAGTTTTCACCTACTTTTTTCTTTTTTGTTTTCAAATATTCAAATTAATGATTCAAACATAACTTAAAAGGAGAGGCATGAATTACTAGTGAGTCAAAGGCGGGGGTGGAGGCAAGAGACTACAAATTCAAGCTCGTCCCATGACTATCCTAAGAATTACTAATGTGGTGATATTATATTAAAAATATAAGATAATTGTATTTGTTTGTATAGTAATATAGTGGTGTCAATTTGTTAAAATCAAATCTATGAATTTACATTTAAAAAAAATAATATATAAAAAATAATTGTGAAATAGGAGTATAATGGTATTTTCACATCCAATCCCATGGCATTGTATTGTTAAAACCAAATCTAGCATGGGTTTTGCTAATTCCTCTAGAGTGAAGGTGATAAGCCAGCCGAACGAGCTAACTAGTTAATTGTTCAAATTTTTTTAAAAAAAGAATTAACGAGTTTCAAAATTTATTTTGTTCAAGCTAATTTTAAATTTTTTGTCAATTACCAATATCCATTTTTTTTTTCTTTTTTAAAAGAATGATCTACTCGATCAACCCAACAAACCAACAGCTTAATTAATTGACTTAGAGCTCGGGATTAAGTGCACAAACCCAACGCTACGGTGTGGTTGGGCGAGACAAACAACAGCAAAATTAATCGCTCAATTTTTTTCCACATAAATAACTAAAAAGGATAAATTATTATTCCCTCAAATTAGACAGTAATCATTATAAAATTGTCTAAGTCCTAAGTCACCGTCCAAGTCTTCGAGGAGAGTACAGGAAACTTCTTGGACATGCAGTCTAACAAAGTAAAGCTACGGACATTTGGTGTTACACTTACAATACAAAGGGTGGTAAGTTCAATCCCTAACTACAAATGAATAATCGATCAAAATCGTCATGAATGAGAGAACAATTAAGGAGACAAGGCTCTACAAAGCATCCCTAAATGGAAGTGTACCTGAATTAGAGAGATTGGAGGAAGAAGATCCACTCATTCTTGACAGAGTCTCTCTCAAGACGATGAACGCTCATCACCAAACTCCTTTGCACATTGCAGTATTGCGAGGTCACTCAAATTTCACGACAGCGATTCTGAGTCGAAAACCTGGACTCGCTAGCGAGCTTGATTTAACTCGGTGCTCGCTTCTCCACTTGGCTTCAGCAACGGGCCACGTTGAGATCTTTCATGCGCTGTTGGATGCGGACGATGCCGTTTGCGAAGCTCGAGACGAAGATGGTAGAACTCCTCTCCACTTGGCAATCATGTAGAGGTCGTGAAACTGTTGACTCCGGCTCGAGTCAATTCGTGAGAAACTCAACAGAATGGAAGGAGGAGGAGACACTGTTCTGCACTTGTGTGTGAAGTACAACCGTTTGGAGGTTTTGAAGACTTTGGTTGATGAATTGCTGATCCCAAACGGCATCGCGTTTTTGAACTCTCCAGGCAAAGATGGTAACACCCTCTTGCATCTTGCTGCAGCTCTCAAACAACTAGATGTAAGTGTCTCGATAGTTTAACCTTTATTTTACACTGTCAATTGACTCGAGTTTATCCCCAATTAACCACCGGAGGTGGTTATGCACCTGCTTTTCACATAGGAGGGCAGGACTCAATTTTGTAGATGTCAAATATCTTTGGATAATTATACTGTACTCCAATTGTGGAATCAGCATCCTCTCATTGATTTCTCTCCTTAACTCTCTATTTGCCGGGCCATTGGGCCTACTTTTGGGCTCAATTTAATGATCCGACTTATTTCACATTTTAAGATTTATTAAGTATATCTTACTTATAAATAATCAAGTTGATCGGATATCAAAAAGCATGTGTTTGGATCATCGAACTACAAATCATTTTTTTTTTTAAATTAAATAAACAGTTTTCCAAACACATGGTTTCTGCCCAATCCGCTAAAACCGCACCAACCAGCATCAATCCGCACCGCTCTAACCGCTAATCGCGGTTTAAACTTTAAAATTTATAATCCGCCAACCGAACCGCTCCGCTCCGCTATAATTAATACATATATATTTTTTAACCTCCAATGAAATATCAATGTAAAAATGAGTGTGCGAGATATTTAAGATATGAAATTTATTACAAATTAGTTGTTATATATATGAAACATATTATGTAAAATTACTTTGTATTATATATCTAAAAAATATTATACAAATTAGTGTTATATATTATGCAAATGTATGATAATTAGTTAGAATATTCTTCAATCCTCCAATCCGCCAAAAACCACCCAAAACACATTTTGTCAATCCGCTAATCTGCCAACCCGCCATTCGATTTGTAATTTTACTCTCAAACCGCCCGAACCGCACCGCGCACAGCCCTATTTCTAATATCCGATCAACTTAATTTTTTATAAGTATGATATATTTAATAAATCTTAAAATATGAACGGTTCGGATTATCAAAATTGAACCCAAAAGTGAGCCCAATAGCCTAGCAACTAGGGAGTTAAGGAGAAAAATCAAAGAGAGGATCCTGACTCCCAATTGTGACCCGGACTCCTGTTGTGGTAAGTTAGTGAGATTTACTTGTTTGGTTTGTTTTTGGGAGAGTTGTTTTTGAAAAAAAATTTGGAGAGAGAGTTTAGAAATTTTTTTGGTTGTTTGGTTGTATATTTTGGGAGAGTTGTTTTTTTTTTAGTTTAGGATGATTTGATATTTTGAGAGAATTTGAGTAGATGTGTGTGAGAGAAAAAGTGATTGAGAAAGAGAGAGGAGAGAGAGAAAGTGATTGATTGATGTGTAAGAGAGCGAAAGTGATTTTGAAAATTTTTTGAAAAAAACTCAAATCAAACAATTTTTTAGAAATTTTTTTTCTAAAACTCATCTCCCAAATGTAAACCAAACATACCCAATGTGTCCTGTTGGTAGGTCTCTTCTTATGAATTTGGTTAAATCTAACTATCAATTGGTTATTCCAAGACTAAGGCCCACTAATGCTATGATACGCCCACATAACTTCTTTTTTCTCTATCAAAATAATATATCTATCCCTAATTAATTGATTTTGTCAAGAATTGGTTCAATTAATAATCTATTTATCCTTTTTTATGAACAATGGTTTTCTACATAACATATGAACCATTGTGTAGGAAGAAAATGGACATTTCATCTCCACCTCCATGCATCTCCCAAACTCACTCACTCTTTAATTTTGTCTACATGTGCCTATTAAAAATAGATAATGCTAAGGATATCAAATTTTTTACTAAACAAATGACCAAATGTCTCATATGGATATGGGATCCGCAATTTTGATGGTGCCAAAATGAAAAAATTAAAACTCTCTATCCTAAAACAAAGAAATTTCACTATTTTTAAAACTAAAATTTTCATTTGTCTTTACTTTAAGAATCAATTTTAACTCATTTTGCGTGTAGGTAAACTGATCAATTTTTTGCTAAGCAATAACTCATTATATAAAGGTTGACTATGAGATGAATAGTTCTTATCATGCTTTCATTTTGAAACATTTACTCTTAAACGTTTTATTAAGTTTCAGTTTTTGGGTTGTTAATGAAGATCTTGAATGAGAACCAATTAGAACTGTATGTTTGTGGCTCCGTGGCATCGTTTCGAGACTTTTCAAACTCGCAGGAGTTTTTCCACATTCAAATCGATCAGCTCCACAACATCATTGTTATGCAACGCAAACTCACCAACTCCAATCATCTATCTCAATAACTGGTAGTTGGGACTTTGTAAACCTAGTGATTTCGCAACCCTAAGGTCAAATGGGTCCCATTTGTTTTCAGAGGTAGCATGAAGGAGATTCATAGTGAGGAAATTAATAATAAAGGAATTCAGTAAAATTGTATTTGTTTTGATGATAGTTGTTAGTGTAGGAATTGTTAAATTATTTTTATATAAAATAATCAAACAAATAAAAAAATATAAAAAATTAAACATTAATATTTTTAAAAAAATTCTCAATACATAAAAAATATAAAAAATAAAAAAATTTATAATCCCTTCACTATTTTTCTAATACCATCTCTACCTCTTCCTTCCGAATCCCCCTTCCAAGGCCTTTACTAATACCAAGAGATTAGGAGTCCCCTCTCCATCTCTCAAAACAAGCACCCCATATAGTAGTCACACCTTACTATCAAACTCAATCTCCTCCCTATAATCCCAAACAAACGGGAAGTAAGATGGTTGTTAAGTATATGCAATCAATGTTCTCCATAAAAAAAAATATTAATCTTCTGGAAATCAATGCTATTTTTTTATTTTACAGTTATATAAGTTCGGATATGTATATTTTACAGCCAACAAATGAAAAATATACAACAAAATAAAAATAAAGATAAAAAATAGGTAATGAAATATTCATATCCTTAACATGCATCAACAAGAATTCAAGTTAAGCAAACTCCTATCGGAGAAGATGATACGGAAACACGTATATAGGATCGGAATCTCAAAATTTTCTCTCTAAAACCAGAAAGAACAAGAACCTCCAATCTTTGGTTAAGTTCAGGAATGATTCCAAAACCAGGTCATAAACATAACAAAAAAATCAAAATTTTCTACTCACTAATATCATTTTCTTCCGTTTTCTCGGCAACCAAACGGAATATTGATTGGAATCTTGAGATCTAAACAATACGAGAGATACAGTCCGTAATGCTTTGAGATTAAAACTTTGAAGGAACAAGATTTACCTGCGATTGCGATTCTTTGAGGCGTCGATCGATAGCGATGGAGATCTAGGGTTTTAGAAACACACAGATCGGAGGAAATGAGTGCTTGGAAATGTTTTAAAACCGGATTGAACCGCCCGGTTCAAATGTTGACCCAAATAAAACGGTTCGGTTCGGAAGAATTATAGAAAAGAAAACCCAAAAAATGTTTTTATAATTATTTTAAAAAATTAATAATTAATTATTTAGTTGTGTTATTATGCAATACCTTTTATTTAGGCCAAGTTTGGAATCTTAAGAAAAAGTCCAAAAGTCATCAAAAAAGTCAAAAAGTTATCCTATTTTCATGTTTTGGGCGGCCAAAATTGTGTCTGACCTAAGGAGGGTAAAAATACTATTTTACCCCTGTTTTTTTATCCCTTCCTCAACACAATATTATCCTCTCACCCGAATATCCCCTTCCCTCTCTCTCTCTCTCTCTGTCTCTCTCTATCAGTCCAGTTCTGCAGAGATAGCCACAAAAGGGGACAATCCGTCTGCGGAGATATCCACACCACCGACTGCCGGAGTTCCGTCGCAGCCTTCACCGTTTGGGATGCTACGAAAAAGCCAAAAAGTCAAAAAGTTATCAAAAAAGTCAAAAAGTCACCCCATTTTCATGTTTTGGGCGGCCAAAATTGGGAGAAACCTACGGAGGGTAAAAATACTATTCTGCCCCTGTTTTTTTTATTTCTTCCTCAACCCCTTTAAACTCTCACCCGCAGATTCCCTTCTCTCTCTCTTTCTCTCTCTCTCTGTATCAGTGGAGTGTTCTGCAGAGATAGCCACAAAAGGGGACAATCCGTCTGCGGAGATATCCACACCACCGACTGCCGGAGTTCCGTCGCAGCCTTCACCGTGCAGCACCGCAACAGCCGTGGGGAAGTCCGAGCTCGACTCGATCGCAAATTAACAGCAACCGACGACTGTCGGACAATCCGTCGCCCAGATCTGCATCACTTCCGACCAGATCTACACCACGCCGGCCGGTTTCTCCCTAACTACAAGGTAACATCTCTTCCACGCAAATTAATTTTCTCACTCTCGCTCTCCTTTCTCTGATTCTGTTCCAAAACTTTTCCTCTTTTCTACCTCTCTTCTTTTATCTCTAACACCGAAACCCTCTCTTCTCTCTACCGAAACCCTCTATGAATCCGAAACCCAAACCAGATCTATAGATCTGGTTGTAAGATGTTCATTTGGGTTCGGCGATCTGTTTCACGATGTAAGCATCTCTCACGATTTCGGTTCGAAGTTCACAATCGACCCATCTCTCTGTGAAGATGGGTAAAAAGAACATCAGGGAAGAAGATGTCGGACCTTGAAAACCTTTCCATGTATTTCTTTTTCTGCAATTATATTTGTGCTTTTTTTTGAGAAATTACTTGAAATTTTTCTGAAGTTGCATAAAATTCTTAATTGTCGTTGTTGTTGTGATTGTTGTGTGTCTACGAATTGTTCTCTGATTTCTTAAAATAGAGGTCAAACCCTGAAATCATTATCATCTAACCCATTAACACCAACACATCCACCATGTATACACATGGAAGATGCAGGTAAAAGCTCACAATTCAACAACCACATAATAGCAAAAGAATTAGAACGCCATAGCCCTCAATATATATGGCAACTACTAGAAATGATTTATAAAAAATCAAATTATTCGATTGTTTGTTCTTATCAGAATGAATCTTTTAGTTAATGCACACTACTTGTAAATACACTAATTGATGAGCTATTCTATGAACCATATTGTTCTAAAATTGAAGTTATAATATGCATTGTTTTTATCTTAGTTTAATGGGTAAAAATATGCAGGATTTTGTTGATTTGTTTTTAATTTAAACTATCAGTTCATTTTCATTAACAAAAGATTAACAAAAATTGATGTTTGAACTATAAAACTCAAATTAATAGTAGTTTAACCTATTACACTATAATCTGCAGTCCCTTTTGGCTAATTTAGCTCTGTTTCACAAATGTTTATATGTTTTTTTTTTTATTCCTAGTATGAGTTTCAAGCTTTTCGATTTTTCACGTATACCATAATTGTTGTTGCATTGTAGTACGCAAATGGAGCAGTCCCAAACGCAGTCGACGCCTTCCAAATCTTTACGCAAGCGGGGTAGTAAACAGACGCAGCAGTAGTCCGCAAACGTGCATAAAGCAGCTTGGGACTCCGACACAGTGCGGATTTTTTTGGAACTTGTTATCAAAGAGTTGGACGTTGGTTTCAAGGGGAGCTTCCATACAATGACAATGCATGGATATAGAGCTGTAAGCAAGGGCTTTGTGGACCGTACAAATAAGCTGCATGACGTCAAGCAACTACAGAACAAGTACGCATTGCTGAAAAAGGATTGGCAGTCGTGGTCAAAACTGATGGACAGCAGGCATGGGCCAACCGGCATCAGTTACAATGAATCCACGGGTTTGATACAAGCATCTGACGACTGGTGGGCGCATTACGAAAAGGTAACATTTCCATTGAGTTTTACTTACGTCATTTACATGGATACTTAAACTGTTATTATTACAACTTTAACGATCAAAGTTATGTCAGATAAAGTTCTTCCTGTGGTTGAATAATGAATGGAAGGGGGAATATTATGATCTTATTGGAATTATGTTGTCGCTGCTAGTTATTTGACCACGTATGTAATTATTAATTTAAAGCAAGGAGGGGGGACGAAATGGGGTTGCTGATGCATTGCGACTTTTTGGTGGGGTTAATGGTTTTCATGACTTTTTTTGCTTTGGTATTTGCTTGTTTGGGTTGTCTTTTGGAATTAGGTCATTGTCTTTGCATACATTAGGTTATTGTTGTTGACGTTTGTTGATCATTGTGGAAATGGATATGGATATTCTCATGGCTCCATAATTTCTGTATTGCAATTAAAAACTGAAGTGGTATTTTTTTTGTTTTTTTTTTCCTTTTATGGTAAGCTCAGTGATTTAGGGATATTACGTTGAGTATTGAACAGTTTTGCTGGAGAAATGTGAGCAATGGGAGCGCGAATTGGAACAACCCAGATATGAGCAAATATGTTTTAGATCATTTATTGGTTGCCTTTAAGTCATTCACACAATCTTCCCTTACTTGAAAATGGATGTGATAACCCAACCCTTTAACTAGACCTTTAATTTCTATAGTCGAGCTTTATACTTTATTGTCAAAACAGTGTCGACGTGTTACTATGCTGAAACATATTTTATGAGACTTTGAAAAGCTTTAGGAAAGCCAAACTTGGCTTTAGTTTGCAGTGTTGGTATGGTCCACATTGCTTACATAGATGCAAGAAATGTTCCTAAAATTGTTGCAACTGGGAAACCTGCCAGTTTACAACAATTTCATGTATTACATCTCAAATGGCCTGACTTTGCCTAGCAGTCTTGGAGCATAAGTGGAATCTGTATCCAGCCATTATGACAACTAGTAGTAATTGGTGAAGCATGCATGCTGCCGAATAGGATCAATTTCTGCTTCTATTTGTGTACTTAAGAATAGAATTATATTAATTAGGATTGTCACCTTGATTGTCTTTCAGATCTCATTGTCATTAATTTCCTTTTCACTATGATTTCTAACGTTTCTACTGACGGTAAAATGACCATCACTTGCCACAAATTATTATTGATGGATATTTTGTTTTGTGTTTTCTCCAGGTTGACAAGAATGCGATCAAGTTCAAAACAAAATCGTTGGAGCACATGGACCTCATGCGAAGGGTGTACGAAGGCGCTACGGCAACCGAAAAATATGCATGGACACCAAGTGCAGCGTTCGAACCTGTGGCAACCGATGACGGTACTTCGGCGGCGCTTGAAGAAGACTGCGAGGACAGTAACGGATTACCCCCTTTCCAGCCTTCCGCGCAGCATGAACACACTGTGCACGACACTGTTGCGCAAGAGGATGGCACGCCGGCAACCGTGCATGCTGCGTCATCGGGAATTAACGCTGACGACACACCAACAAGTGGCAGAAGCAAACGCAAGTCGCCAGGCCCAACACACCCACAGCAGAAAAAAGAGCAGAGTGAGGGAGCTTCTCTGTTGGCGAGTAGTATGGAAAACCTTGCATCCTCCATGAAATTACAACAACGACAAATCCGCGTCTCACATGAGTACGCAGATTCGGTACAATCCCTCATTCAGAAGTGTATCAGAAGGTTGTATTCGCTGGAAGGGCTCGATCCGCAAGACCCGCTAGTTCCTTTTGCTCAATCAGTACTTGACAACCCGGCAAATCAAGCCTTAATGATGGAGATTCCTACAGACGCGACTGTCATTGCTTGGTTGCAAACGAAGAAGTCCCGTGAGCAATGCATCGGTGGCCCATCAGCAGCAAATTCCGGAATGGGTGGTGACTGGTTATGAGACAGTCCAGCAAATAAGTTGTCTCTTTATAAATGTTTCTGTGTGGCTTCTTTATCCTTCCTTCCCTCCCAAAAACTATTTCATTGTTCGTGGAATTTTTAGGACATTATCAGTTGATATAATATTTGTGTGATGATGTTGATGTTGTAGTATGTGCTTGTTGCTGCCTTTTAAATTTCGTGCATTTTTTAGTAAGTAACTGTCCAATTAAGCAACAGTCTAATTAAGATCTTGCTTTAATTCCATTAGCAGTTGAGAAGTGTTTTTGTGAGTTCATCTCTCTCTCTTTCTCTCAATTTTTTGTGAGTTCAAGGTGATTAAAACATAAATTAGCATTTGCCCATACAATGTATATTTTATATTTTTCGAAGTGTTGTCAATTTGCTGTAGCACTATTGGAAAAATTGTCAACAAAGGTTTGAGTCCATATACTAGGACCCACTACACTGTGAGCATACCACAGACCAATAATTTGGCTTTAAATTCGTGCATTGATGTAACTGTTTTGTCGGCACAATATACACTTTCGTATACACCAATAATTTGGTGGCTTTCTTACGTACGCCCCAATAAGACCATCTCCAACGGTGAATCAAAGTTGGTATCAGATTCAAATTTTGATGAAAAGGGCACTTTTTTATGCTCCAACCGTTGCACCAGATTGATATCAAAATGAGATTTCAGCAAAAA